TATCTGTGTATGCCCAGGTATACAGACACACAAAAACAAAAAAATAGAGAACTAAAAMATCAGAGAATGAAAAAAATAGGGAATGAAAAATAGAGGAAGTCTTCAATTTGWGTCCTATTTCTAGGCTTCATTTCATATTATAAAGTAGCATATACACAAAATCATATTGTTTTGCCATGCTTAATGGGAAAAAAAMCCCAACAATAGTATGTCAGGATCTACCTTTTGCTACTAAGACTGTGTATCACAAAGTCCTGCCTGTAATTTTACGAATGCCACTGCCTTAAAGAAAGCTGTATTAAAATAWCAGAAGACTTCCTAAGAAAAGGAAACAAAAAGAAGGCAACAGTAGGTTACCCACCTGAAAGTATGTACAGGTAAATACATGTACCTCTCTCCAGCCAACAGATTTTTTGTGCACTGTAAATGGATTAAGTCCAGAACAAAGGACTCCAAAGTGGACAACTGWCATACTTGAAAAGATGGACTAAACSAGAAAGTGTCTTATATAACCAACCAACATTGCCATTAAAGAAAATAAAAGTAATTATATATTCTATCTTTCAAAGTTTGCAGCCTATATCCCTTGCCAAGAAGTTCAAAGATCAAATTCAAGTTTTGACAGAAATTATGTAATTTTCTATACATATATATATTTGCACATACATGTAGCAATTTAAGAAACACTTTTGACTTTGAAAATTTAAATAAAGTTCAAATTTACAAAGGTATTTTCTATGTAKCCAGTTTACTATTTAAACATCTGCTTTAGCAGGACTTTCTACATGCAGTGCTTTTATACTGATCCTGGTAAAAAAGGCAGATAAAATTTACAGCTCATCTAAGGTGAGCAATTGTTGTGCAAGACCTGATCTCTGTCTAATTAAAGTAGCCAGTGTCCAAACACTACACACGTGCAAATTTTCATTCCCTTTCTTTTCATTCCCTCTCTCATTCATACTCTTTAGTAAGAGATAAGAATAAATTTATTTATAATATCCATATGAAATACTCAGCAGCTCTTGGTAAAATATAAAATTATATTTGGGAGAAAAATTCAAATGGAAAAATACAGTGGCATTGTAGTGAAAAGCTCAGGATCACCAAAATTTAAATTTTACTTTCTATACATGAAAATCCATAGTAACATTAAGTTTTGCTGAGTTCTGTTTTTCAAACAATTGTACATGTAGATTATTAAAACAACCTGGAAAATATCTAAAAGAATCAGAAAAAAAAATACAATTTGACTAACCATTGTCAATGACTATTTTTAAAAGCCTGTATTGTCCATTTCTGGCTCCAACAAAGATGTCTTTAACACTTCCACTAGCTGAAAAAGAGAAAATAAAAGTAATCAAATTAGCACATTTCACTTCCCTAGAACAAAGAATATTCATGAGGGTAAGAACAACATCAGAAAAACGTACAACTGGCCCTTTGCTACAAAGTTGGACTGAAAAGCAACATCAGGAGTGATGCTCCTGCTATGCCGCACACTGTTCCAGCCACCAGCATGCCACACAAAGAAAAAAAAGGCAACATTACAAAACAGCCCTGCTTCCTAGCATACTTAATTATTTTCACCATTGGGAAAATTAAAGATGACATCATATCATAAATCTCAGGTTTCAGAGTTAACACAGCAACACAATAAAAATATGACACATCTCAAATTACAACAGCTTCACAAAGTCAGAAGACTTAGTACAAACTTTCAGACACAAACTTTACTCCTGCCAGGAAAACATTAGAGCTGGWCTGGCAAACATGATGGTCTTTCCTGAGAGCACCTTTCTGCAGAGTACCAGTGAAAGCTGTCATTCATTGCTCATCTTTCAAACCACCTTATCTCCTTCTATGGTTGATGACATTGTTCAAGCCCCTACCTATTGCAACAGGACAGCTTTATTGTGAATTTACAAAGTAACTAATTTTCACATGTTCCTAAATCACACTGATACTTCACCATAAACATGAGAGACTCACTTCCCTAAGCACACTGAAGGTCTGTGCTTGACTGGTGTGAAGACCATTCTTATCTCAACTGCTCTGCTAAATAATCCCAGTGCAAATCAGTTTAATGATACCAGAGACAGAGGGTTGTAAGGATTTACTGRAAAACATTTATTCTAAGCTGGTCCTTTAAGTAATTTCACAGCAGAGAGCATAGCACCAGCAAAACAAACATCAAACCAGGAAACAAATAGAATGGATTACTTATATCCAGGTTGAAGCCAAATGAACAGATGGTATCCCGGARCATTACTGCCCATTCCCAAAACATTTTACATTTATATCTATCCAGGTGGTGCCAGGCCCATCCTGAGAGTCTAAAATGGCATGTTAAAAGGTCATGTTAAAAAAACTGAACTGCATTCAGTTACCAGTTCAAACCCAGTTTCATCCCAGTTGATATCTTTCCACTAGCCAGTGCAGACCCTCACAGTAATTTGATGCCAGCTTTTCTAATCATCTCTGCTGGTCCTTACCATTCCATTGAGCAAGAAAACATTGTGCCATTTTCTAGAGCTTTTGGTTCCCCCAGAACATTTTTTGTCCCCTTTTTGTCTATTATCTTTTTGCTCTTTATTCTCTCATTTTAACCCTACATACCAAAACAAGACTAGAATACAGGTGCAGTCCCTACACCAATTCCAAAACAGCTCCTAAAAAAATATTTTGAAACACTTGTGAAAGCAKCTCACTACAAAGTGATCTATGGGGKTTTTCCCTCATAATGGTTTTGAAATTCTCAACAGTTATACTATTTTCTATTTAAACTTTCTGCGCAGCAGAGGACTACAGAATCAAAATTTGGGTGTATTTCACAAACATTGTACAGGGAACACTCTTTTAAAATTATTGAGAAGATTGTAGACCCATTTGATTGTATCTTCCCACATTTAGTGCATTCTGTGACTTCCTACGGTATTTATCTGCATTGGCCTGTTTAAAAAGTCCAGTCCTTTTAGCAACTGCCTGGTACATATCACTGTGCCCATGACTTCATTTCTGTTTTCAGAAAAAAGCAGCCCGTGCTGCCAAATCTTGTAATTGTTTATGAGTGACAGTAGCTTGTTTGTAGCCGAAGCCAGCAATGGCACAAGTAGAGTTATTCCTCTTCCAAATTGCAGAAGCTGATGGTTTGCTGCAAACAGGACTCCTGATTAGTGTCGGCTGAGGCAGGTTCCTGAAGGAAAGCGGTAGAGCTCTCTACAGCTCTCCTCAGAGGACAAATTACTCTAAAACACTAAGGAAAGCAGCAGAAGAGGTTTTGCCACTCTTTGTGCTTACAATAAGCAACAGAGTATTCTTCTGCTCCTCCCTCCTGCACCGCCAGGAGAACAAGGGATTAAGAGTTACACTAACAGGTTTCCCCAGACTGGGGAGGAAAAAAGTAAAAGCTATTTCAGGTGCGCCTCTAGSCTGAGAAGGGTTGAAGAACTTAAAACAAGAAGCTGCAAAAAAGATTGGCATGCAAAGGGAGGAAAAGAAGAGAGGGAAAAGGGTACAGACCACACGCAGCCAATGGACAAAAAAGGGCATAGAAGAAAAGCTAAGGGCTGTCGTGGCTGGGACAAAAGTCACCTTCAACAATAAATACCGGAGTGCAGGCAAAGTACATGGTACTAGTCACCGAACAGGCAGATTGCAGAAATCCAGACAGCAAAACCCGACCGCTCCATAATCCTGCTGTATAATCCCTGCTTAGCAATTCTGTGATTCAAGGGAACCCGCTAATACTGCGAAACAATACACTGTCTTCTTCTAATTGCTCCTCGCACCTTCCAAGGCCTGGAAACATGGGRAAAAAAGGTTCCCACATACTTTTCCCCCTTATGGCCTCCAAGGATGGGCTTTTTAGTGGACTCTTCCACGCCAGAGMTCTTGCTTCTCCCCAGGGCTCTCGCTTCCAGGGACCCGGCAGCGCCCCTCGGCATGTCCTGTGCTGTCCAACCCATTCCAAACTCGCTACGGCGACCCCGAGCTGGCGACAGCCCCCGGCTCGACGCTCACGGCCGCCGCAGGAAAACCGGCACTGGGGGAGTTACCTGAGCCCAGGCGGGCCCTCCCTGCCATTCATGGGGCTCTGCAGTGAGCACTTTCCCCGGGCGGGCTCCCTGCCTCTCCGGGGCGGGCAGGCGCGGTTCGCCGGCYGGGAAGACCCTGCAGGCTTCGCCCGACCGGGAACGGAGCTCTGGGTTCGACCCCGAGGAGCGGCGGCCGCCGGGGCAGAAAGCAGCAGCAGTTCCCCCCTCGCTCGTCCCCCCGCCGGCCCGCGGCGCAAAGGACGGGCTCCTCCGGCAGCGAACAAAGAGCGTAGCAGTGGGAAAGATCCCGCCGGGAATGGCCCGTTAAGMGCCCGCCACGGCCGCCTGCCCCCGCGCCGCGCCCGACCCGCGGGGAAAGGCGCTCCGCCCGCCTCCCGCCCGGCCGGCGGGGCTGCGGGAGAGACGGGGCYGACAGGCACGGGCAGCAGCGGGCACCGCGGAGCGGAGGTGCGGGGAGCTGCGCGGGTACCTTGGATGCCGGTCTGGTGGGACATGTCGCACCGCGCCCGGGCGCCGCCGCCGCC